TATATATATATATTATGTATATATGTGTGTACTCAAATATATTACCTCCTCTGTATACAATAACATTCGACTGATTTACGTTGGTTAATTTAATTACAGTGTTAAATTTGTCAATAGTTTGAGCTGTTTTTTTTTTTAAATCATATTAACAATTTTGAAATTAATCTCATTTCTTTTCTTTTTCACTTAATTTTTTTATTTAACTAATTAATTAATATTTTAAAAATTTATGTTTACTTATTTTCTCTTATTCTTGTGAAAATGAGAAAAAGTTAATATCGTTAATTTCCAATATTTTTTATTTTTATCTAAAAAATATTAATAAAAATTATTTCAAGAAAAAACAATTAATGCAAGAAATGATGAAAAAAAATCTTACAAAAACTATAATATAGTAAAAAATCTATTATATATAACAATAAATATAATGATTTAAAAATTAATTACATTTTTCATCTTTTATTATAGTTATTTTTGGAATTTGATTAATTTATGTTTTTTTATAAGTTCTTTTTTAGGGGTTTTTATAAGTTTTTTAGAAAACATAAATTTGAATCTAACTCAATTCCATAAAATTAATTTATAAAGTGAGAATGGTTTTCCTACTTATATACTTATTTTATTCATATCATTGGTCACTATGCTTCAACATTTGGCCTTCATGCTATCATGGATTGGCACAAATTGTATAAAATATAGTTTGAGCATGAGTTCTCCATGGCACGAGTTCAATATCATGGTATTTTAGCTTATGCAATGCACATGCTAAATGTTTATTACATATAATTAAAATGTATAATAAATTATATATACAAATAAATATTGTTAAGTCAAAAAACGATTTCCTAAATTCATAGTTTTAATGCTAATAAACAAAGTGTTTTTATATATAAGAAATTTCTACAAAAACGCTTTTGAAACATATCTTTAAAGGCTTATCAGATGAAGTGTAAGACGCAAATTGTCTATGAGACAATTGTTAATTAGATGAAGGATACAGTTTATCTCATATACATTAAATATTTATCATTTATTGAGACTAATGACAAAGTTTGTTTTGAATGTTTCATTCCTTAACAGATCAAATCAAAAGAATGTCTTGAAACTCACAAATCTATTAAAGAGAAAAATCATGTTTTTTCGTAAGAATCAAATCCTTGAAATCACGGAGAAAAGTAGATAAAGTCATAATAATAGTTGCTTTGTGCTGACATTGCGTCTGCAAGCTCAGTTTGATATGAAAAGTTAATAAGTAGCTTCCTTGATCATATAAGCGGTACTATATGGTCAAATACATTTAGTGCTCACATTAAGTGTGTCAAATGGTTACTTGCCACCATAGAAAAATAATGAAGACAAACAAAGTAAAGTTATGAGCTGGACTCAAAGTGTTGCAACGGTCATTTTCTTAAGGCTACTATATAAAAAGATTCAAAGCTCGATAAAGACATCAAATACAATTTACTAAAAAGGTACTGGTTGTAATACATTTGTACAAAAACACTCTCTTAAAATCTATTATTTCTTGTATACATTAATTCTTTGCTCTGTAATCAGTTTCATAACGTCTAAATGAGACAAACATAACCCTTGAGTAACCTTTATAACCATTGTTATAAGGTTGAGCCTAGAGAGACTTGTTGATAACAGAATACTTGAGTAGATCTTGAAGAGACTTGTTATTAAAAGAATATTTAATTTAAGCCTGAAGTAGCTTGTTGTTGAAAGAATACTTGAATAGTGACTTGAAAAAGTCAATTAAAGAACACTTGTTGTAGATTCAAAAGTGGCTTGGAAAATAATACTTGTAACTTTGAGAAAGTTAGTGGAACTCAATCTGGTTGGATTGAGAATTGGATGTAATCTTTATGTTTAAAACAATCAGTATAAAAATACTCAATTTTGCAATATAAAAAATGTGAGTTTTTGATATTTACTATTTAACCTTCTCCCTTTTAGTGACTATCTTTTCTCCACAAATATTTGAATATATAAATTATATTTAAAATTTATATAAATAGATATAATATAAATTATATTTTAGATTTATGATAAATAATTTATATAATGAGAGAAAATTATTTATTCGTTGATAATTATTTTTAAAATATTA